GCCCTGGTTCCGGGCCCGATGTGAGCCGGTGCGCCCCATGCCCCTGCAGGACGGGGCGGCGCGCGTGACCTGCATGGCCTGGTCGGGCAGCAGCGCCCGCTTCGCAGTGTGCACCGTGGAGCGCGTGGTGCTGCTCTACGACGAGCAGGGCGAGCGGCGCGACAAGTTCTCCACCAAGCCGGCCGACGCCAAGGTGAGGGGCGGGGGGCGCAGGACATGGGACGCGCACGGGGCTCCCCGGGGCTCACGGCCGGCAGCGCAGTTTGGCAGGAAGAGCTACGTGGTCAAGGCCATGGCCTTCTCGCCTGACTCCACCAAGATCGCCGTGGGCCAGACTGACAACATCATCTACGTGTACCGCATCGGCGAGGAGTGGTGAGCGCGGCCGCAACGGGGCTGCCCGCAGGACTGCGGGCACCGGGAGCTGCTGTGCTGGGAGCCGGGGTCTGACCCGGGACCGGGGCTGGGTCTGGAGCCTGACGTAGGAGCCAGGACCTGGAGCCAGAGTCAGAGCCAGGATCGAGGCCTCGTGCCAGGATGTGGGATCTGGGACCAGAGTCTGGAGTTGGGCTCCAGGCCGGCGCTGCAGCCTGGCCCGGTGCTCCGCACTGCGCGTCTCCACCCCGCACTGAGTGGCCTCTGCGGGGAGCACGGGCAGCTCCCCTGGCACCAGAGCCCCCTGGCACAGCCCCTGCGGAGCAAACGGGGGCCGTCCCCTTGCTCTGCGGTGAGGAGCGGAGGGCCCCTCTCCCGCTTCTCCTGGCAGGTCATCAGGGCCGGGGGACACCTGGAAGTCCTTGTTCCTTAGCCTTACTTCTGCAACACATGGCATCATTCTTCGGAAAATTTTGTACCCAACCATGGCTTGTGATAGAGACTTTTCTGGCAACACTAAAGGGCTGAATGCAAACAGGTGGGTAGCTGGGATGGGCAGTATTACCAGCTTCACTGATCCCCTTTTCTCCTTTTCAGGGGTGACAAGAAGGTGATATGCAACAAGTTCATCCAAACGGTGAGACCCAGATTCCTGTCTTACCCTTTTTTTCTGGTGTAGGTAGGGAACGACTATGAAAGAAGCCCACGTAAAGCAGATGATCAAGGTGTATAGGAGAGGATAGATCTATGTCAGGAGTCCCTGAGGTGCTCTAAAGCTAAAAAAAGCAGCAACTATGCTCTCATTAGCCGTGAGCCTTTTCTTTTATAAGTAGTTAGAGACCGTGGACATCACACTCAAAATTATGTATTCCAGTCATAGAGCAAGTCTAGTGGATGTTTGTTTGTTTGTTTCCCCCTAATCTCTGTATTTTGACACTGTCAGTCACTCTGGGCGCAGTGACTGAGAATCATCTACTTCAGGGTTTGGGTTAGAAGTGCCCAGTTTGGTTTAGAAGTGCTCCTGTGCAGAGCATTTTGCTGCAGTGCCTTGCTCCAGGGCAGTCATTGATTCCCCACGCTGTGATTCCCCAGTCAGTGCAATGTGTTCCTGATGACTGGCTCTACGTCCTGAACACTGGTGTTTCCCTCAAGTTCACCTGCCTGTCTCTGTATCCCCACATGTTCAGGATATTCGTGGCTTCACACCCGTGTCTGTCTTTTCCCTGCTTTTGCATGCATACTAATGCCATGGTGGTTGCTGTGGTTCCCTTTTGGTAAAACTCCTTCGCTAGATGTTCTCTCTGCTTCCGATGACCTTTTCTTCATCCCCTTGTACTGCAAGACCCAGAACATGCTTAGAACAGCGAGCAGCCTACAGCTTCTGTTGAACAACCCAGAAAGCTGAGATACATTTTTCTGCCTCGTGGAAGAGCTGATGGAGTTTGCGAGTCTGCCTAGCAGTTCACAGCTCCACAAGCAGCATTTCTGTGCTCCACATGGCAGCGGAGGGGATTGCTTTGTAGTTAATTCCGTGTTGTGGGGTGGCTACTGGCAGCCTGTGCTGGAGCCTGGGCTCTCAGGCTGTAGAACAGGGAGGGATGCTAACGACTCTCTTGAGACTGTCCTCCTTTGAGGCAGGGCATGAGAAAGGGGAGAAGTGTGGGGCAAGCAGCCTTGCCCCACTGAGTGATTCACTCAGTACTTGGGAGAGTGGACACGAGCTCCCTGTGTTGTCAGAGCTTCATTCTTTACAGACACAGCTTAGGAGACATGAGTATGTCCTGGAAAGAAAGGCTGCCGCAATTATCTCTCAACAAGATTCTCAAACTCATTAAAGACAGTTTGTATTTCTGCAGCAGCAGTTTGCTTATACAACTGCTGCACTGCAAGTGCCTGGTAGCTGCGATCCAGTCACATCATGGCACAAGGAGCCAAATTCCCTTCTTACCAGCCAGATGTGCTGAGTGAGAAAGGAGACCCACCAGGGGTTTCTGCTGTTCCTTGCAGTTCATTATTTTAGTGTGCATCATCAAGGTTCTATACTAGCCCAAATGTAAAGTGTGTGGAATTGAGCCAGATTGCAATTTTTCGTCTGTTTAAAGATCTCAGGTTTACAATTTCAGTCAGATTATTTCCTTGGCCTTCTTCATCTTCTCCTGCTTCTCTAGCTCTGCATACGAGTGGGAGAGAGCACTCAATAGGTTTCTGCCAAGGTTTATCTTGAGGATGATGTGTCTGGAAGAAGCATAGGTATTCTAGTTCCCTGCACAGAAGACCATCTGTATGAGGAAATGCAATGCACTGACTAGTCCTTTTACAGCTAGGAGCAAATGTCTACCAGCCCTGCAGGTGCCCCAGCCAGTTACCACTGTGCTCTGACCCCCAGGAGTCAGTCTCTTGGGCCAAAAGGCCCAGCTGGAGATGCTTCTGCTGAATCATAGAATCATAGAATGCTTAAGGTTGGAAGGGACCTCTAGAGATCATCTAGTCCAACCCCCTGCACACACAGGGTCACCTAGAGCACGTGGCACAGGACTGCATCCAAGCGGGTTTGAAGATCTCCAGAGAAGGAGACTCCACAACCTCTCTGGGCAGCCTGTTCCAGTGCTCTGTCACCCTCACTGTTAAAAAAATTTTCCTTAAGTTCCTGGGGAACTTTTGGTGCTTCAGTTTGTGGCCATTACCTCTAGTTCTGTCGGTGGCCACCAGTGAAAAGAGGCCAGCAGCATCCTCCTCACTGCCTCCCTTGAGGTACTTCTAGACACTGCTCAGGTCCCCTCTCAGCCTTCTCTTCTCCAGCTGAACAGACCCAGCTCCCTCAGCCTCTCCTCACAGGGCAGATGTTCCAGGCCCCTGATCATCCTCGTAGCCCTGCGCTGGACTCTCTCCAGTCTTCTTAAAGCACCTCAGGATCCCATTGGCCTTCTTGGCCACGAGGGCACACTGCTGCCTCGTGGTCAGCTTGTCGTCCACCGTGATGACCAGGTCTTTCTCTGCAGAGCTGCTCTCCAGAAGGTCAGTCCCCAGCCTGTACTGGTGTCTGGGGTTATTCCTCCCCACGTGCAGAACCTTCCACTTGGCTTTGTTGAATTGCATGAGGTTTTTCACCGCCCAGTTGTCCAGTCTGTCCAGGTCCCTCTGGATGGCATGCATTCCAGAAAGCTCCATGCATTCCAGTTGCCCTCTCACATAAAGAGCAGCTCCACCACGTCGCCTTCCCAGCCTGTCCTTCCTAAAGAGCACATAGCCTTCCATGGCAGCGCTCCAGTCTTGTGAGCTATCCCACCACGTCTCTGTGATTCCAATGAGATCATGACGTTGGGACTGCACGCAGATCTCCGGTTTGTCCTGCTTATTCCCCATGCTTCGCGCACTGGTGTACAGGCATTCCAGGGAAGTTCTGAAGCCCATTGGGTGAAGGGCAGCCTCAGCCCTTACGCTGAAAGGCTGCGTCTCTGGCTCAGGGCTGGTTAGCAGGCCTTTCCTGCGCGTTG